CTGGAACATGAGCGTAATAGCCTGCCAGAGACAACACACTGCCAACTACCTCTGCATGTTCACACAACTGTACTGACAAAGAACATTGAACTGTACTGAGTGTGGTGGAGATTCCCCTCCTACACTGACAGACAAACACCAAACAGCTGGGTCTTCAGTGTAGACGCTATAACGCGGGAAATATGACGAGGGAGGGGAAGTTACACCAACTGGACTACACCAACAAAAATCCACTTGTGACTTCTGCTAATACATTTGTTTTTGTCTTGACATGATAATATAATTGTTCGTGTCTTTTTTTTGGTTTTGTAATAAGAAATAAATTGCATGAGTGGAGAGCTCCGAGATAGACATTTTTCTTTCTTCTGAGAGGTTTTCTATCTACAGCTTCTAAAAACAAGAGACCCCATGACCATTGCAAGAGGAGGTTTGATAGTAGAGCAGACTGCACTACGCGGGAAAATAAAAACAAGGAAGAATGGGTTAGTTCAGATCTCCGAATCCGAGATCGCTTTGATATACGTCCTTTGGGTCTGGTTTCTCAACATAGGGAACTGATTATGCCTTTGGTCAACAACCTCACGTGACCAGAGATTCATTAATGTGACTAGATCTCACATACGATGTCTTCTTGCAGTCGTACTTTTTTTTTTTTTTTAATTTTTGGGTTATGTAACAGACTTAGAGTTAACGACCACCACAAAGCAAGGCCACTTTGGTTTGTCTTATGCTCGCCTAGCACAGGTGGTTGTGAGCAAGTGTCTGTGACTTGGGGTATTGCCTTCTTGTGGTGAGAGGAGGGAGGGGGGGGGGCGTTGGGAAGGGGGCGGGCGCGGGCGGGCCAGCGACGTCCTCTTGTACTGTGGGCGTGGCTGCGAGGACAGGGGCGCCGCCGCCGCCGCCCGCTGTGGGCCCGGCCAGCGCGTGCACCTGGGGCCAGACTATGGAGTGAATGGGCTTGACTGTGTGGTTTGCTATTTTAAATTGGTAACTTTGAACCACCATCAACAACTATCCTACATGCATGACTTAGAACTAGGAGCCTTAATTGAGAATCAGTGCAAAAAAATCAAAATAAAACAAGATTAAAAATAAAACTAGGACCTGGGTAGCTAGCAAGTGACTAGGAGACTCGTACGCGCGGACGAGCGCGCGCACAGGAGAGGTGCGGTGCAGACAGTAGGGGGGACGAGCCCCCGGTGGCGAGGGTGTGAGGGGAGGGAGGGGGCCCCGACACCAGGTAGGGGGCCCCCGAGAGGGTCCTGGCCGGTGGTCGGGGCTATGGCAGAGCGCCCAGGTGGGCTCACATGGCCGCGGGTTCACAGTTCTTCCTCTGGCACGAGGTTCAACCAAAACAAGGGAAACAGAACTAAACTATATACAAATTGGGTACATTGGGCTGTCGGAAAGATCTCATCATTGTTACTGGAAGGCATGGAAAGGCACAAATGCTTTGTCTCATAGATATTCACAATAAATCAAGGCTAGAACATTTGGACAAAATTTGAGACATGCACCTTCAATATTTGTATCATGATAATAATAAAAGAATGCCCATAAACAGTCCTCCATCTTAGCCTTCTCTTGAACATGTCTTCCTCTGATAGTCCAGCCTTAGGCTGCTCAGTCACTGGTATATACAGAATCTCTATCTTCTAGGTGGTGCTGCCGAAGGGGCAGCTGGTGTCGGGGCTGCGTCTGAGGCAGCTGGTGCCACCGGCTGCGGGCACTAATCCTGGCGGCGGCCCGCCCGGGGCTGTCGGGCGCCGCTACTCCAGCTGCTCCAGAAAGGTCGGAGACTTGAAGTACTCGGGCACGGGTTCGTCCAGCCGCGCGATCACCTTGTAGATGGCCTTCTTCCACGACTGCTCCTGGTCCTTCTGCTCCTGAATCGCCTTGAAGAACTCCCGCAGCGTCTGTTCGACCACGTACCGGAAGTGCTCCGGGATCTGCTGGGAACAAGGAGAGATCCAGATTAGTTCCAAGGCGTTGCGATGCCCATGACAAGGCTGGTAAGGCCAACGTCACAATAACACAAACACTCTAGCACCTAGTATACCAAGCCCATCGGCGTACGACCAGCAACCGCGTCAGACGACTACTAACCTCGAGGTGGTTGTTGCGGTTGTAGTGGAGGTTCAGCGCGCGAATGATCTCGGCGTCCATGTTGACGACCACCTCATCGGCTGACTTGGTGCCCTCGCTGATGGCTTGCCGTGCGTACTTCTCCATCTGGATGTAATAAAACTCCCTGCGGACAAAAGAAAGGAACGTTAGTCTTCTCCGGGACTACTGCAGAGCGCCTAATCTCTTGACAATATCTGATAAACTCTACTAAAGCGAGTCTACACATATACTTATTTCTTTACATGAATTCACAGAGTGTACATGATCTAAGGCTAACTTGCAACAATGCAATTACGCTGAACCCAAAGACACTAAATGGGACAATGAACAAACGCAGCGAGAAATCGAGCTCCCAGCACACATACACGAGCGACCTCCACCCAACGGAATAACGGGGTCAAAAAACAGCCTTACGAAAGCGCCATGCGGGAACCCGTACCTCCGGCAGATGCACGGAGCGAAAAGTAATGAGCAAGACAAAATGAAAAGGAGAAAATTCCTTTCCTTCTTTTCCTCTTTCTTCCTCTCACGGTTATGTTACGTGTGTACAACAGTGAGCATAAATAAAACAATTCATTATCAAAAGAGGTTTGAACGCCACTTCTATCTATTTATTCATGAATTCTCTTTTGTCTAATGTACACGTGATCTACCTCCTCCCTCCTCCCCGAAGAGTATTTCCTTACTATTATATATCCAGTTACAGCGCATTCGGCGACTTTAAATACAGGTAAATATGAATTTTACTGAGGAAAGCTGTGTCATGTATTTCTTTACTCTCTCCTCTCCCCCTCCCCCCGTGGACCCCCCCCTCCCGCACAATGATAATCAAACAGAACAAGACCGTTACACTCGTGGGCACCTCCCCCCCCACGCGCTCATGACGTCACACGCAACCGATCAATTAGTTTTTGTTGATTCGTTGCAATTATCATTCATTTGCCTTATTGATAGAGAGGCGCAAAGGCAGACGTGAACATACAAATGACACCGACTGAACAAGTCGAGCAACGAAACGAAGCCACCCGCCAAGGAACCGAACGAAGCAACTTGCCGACCACGAAATCGCAGGCTCCCCCGCTCCCCCCGCCTCCCCGCCCCCAGCGAAATGCACATCCCCCCGGCCGCCCTCGCCGCCGCCCGCGCCCGTCTCGTACGGCAGAGAGACTTAACCTAATTGCTCAGATTTATGAGTACCGCGCAAGCTGCCATTTGTACGCGGAGGTTAAGTCTCACTAGAGTCTCGGGGCGCGCGCGCGCGCGCGCTCGGAAGGAGGCGAAAAAGCGTGTGATAAATGAGCCTCTTCGTGGTCGCAACTGCGGGGTTTCTTTTCTTGTTGTTTCGGCGGAGGCGCCAGCTGGCTGCTTTCGTTCGCTGCCGGCCTCCCGCGCCAGAAAATAACACTCGATCTTGGTTGCATGTCTGTGCAATATGTGTACGTGCGTATGTATGCATGAATGTATGAGTGTATGTTCGTATGCATATACAGATGAGAGAGGAGGGGAAGGGGCCTTATCTGGGCGCGCGGGTAAAACACGAGGCAAGGATCGCGGGAGGAGAAAAAGGCCGGGAAAAAGTCGAGAACAAATCGCCGGCGGCAGAGAGCATCTACGAGCGTGTAAACAGCGGGACGCAGATCTCCTCTTCGTCAAAAATATGTGTTAATTAGGCTAACGAGGCCGCAGATAAGGTCGGAGATGCCGAGGCTAAACCCTAAACGACTCCTCGGAGGGCAATTTGGTCCATATAAATCTAATGCCAACTTGAATGTGAAATGTGGCGAGCCAACGTTAATGAGGAGTAAGAAATCTCGGAGGCCTGATAAGGTTGCCTCTGGATTTCGCTGTCAGGGCTGTGCTAACAAGCCTTTGCTGTTGTCGTCCTCGTTTTGGCGGGTCGTTCGGGCCGGGGTCGTCCGGGTCGTCTCCTCTCCGCCGCTTCGTTTTTGTCGCAGCTGAGAAGTGGTCATGAACGGATTTTTTCTCGTCGTTTGGGGAAAGAGGTTGAATAACTCTACGGTCTCGCGACGCCACTTTTCATTACGAGAACGCTTGGAGATGAAACAGTGGGAGCTAATATATGCCCCCTCCCCCCCGACGCCCCCTTCTTTTATACACAGGATCTTTAAGGCGATGCAGTTTGATACTTCTATAAAACTCGATAACTCAAGCAGGATCTTAGAAGGGGAGACCAAGATGACTGACTAGCCTTTGTAAACTCAAGAAGCGGCGTTCTTATTTTTTTCTCATCAGTTTCCTGTGTGTATATTTTTTCTCTCTATTCATTATCCGTGTCAAGGCTGATTATTTACCACGCTCGTTCCTCTGCCATAATTACCAGCCGCTTCACCCTCTTAAACCAGCCAGACTCGCGACCAATCAACGCTAAAGAAAGCTTGATGAGAACGGGCCAAGATGAAAAATGAATCATAAAAAACGAAAAGTGAAAAAAAAGAGGAGAGAGAGAAAAAAAATCGAAGTTTACCGTACGGCTTGACAAACCCCGGAGTAGAAGGGTTGTGAGGACCTTCGTGTTGCCGGCAGTACGATAATCACCGGCTCGTTATGGAAGCTGTGGCTCTCTCCCTCTCACTCCATCTTCCTCACTCCCTCCCCTCCTTCCCTTTCTCTCATCCCTTCTCGTTCTCCCTCGCCCTCCCTTTCTCCTATTCCCCCTCTCTTTTCTACCTGCCCCTCCTCCTTTACCTTCCTCCCTGCCCTTCCTCCCCCCCCCTCCATTACAGAAGGCGATCAACTCCTTCCTCTCTGCCTGAACGGCGACCGACACGCCGGACCCATAGGCGCTGCATTATTCAGTCCCGTGAGCTGTTCATCCGGCCCGTGACGTGACTTCCGGACGCCGGTCTAGGGGATCGTGTGTTCGTTTTGAACGTCTTCTACCTTCTCTCTCTCTCTCTCTCTCTCTCTCTCTCTCTCTCTCTCTCTCTCTCTCTCTCTCTCTCTCTTTTCTTTCTTTTCCTTATTCTCTTCTTCCGTATACGTAAACGTTTGGAAAGTCAAGAAACGGCGGGACGAGGAAGCCGCCTCGTGAAGAAAGGAGAGGAAAGGGAGGGGGTGAGGGGCAAGGGAGAAGAAGGAGAAAGGGGGAAAAAGGAGGAGACGAGAAGGAAAAAGAAAATAGCGACCGGCAACTTAGAGAGAATGAAACCCTTAAGGATGTCCTCAGGGGAGAAGGGTGCAGGAGAGAGGGCCAAAAGAAGAGAAAGAGAAAGAACGAGAGAGAAGAAGAAGGAGATGGATAGAGAGATGGAAGGAGAGAAAAAGAGAGAGAAAGAAAGAGAGAGAGAGAACAGAGAAAAGAAAGAAAGACTAGAGGGACGAGGCAGAGATTCTGATGCCAAGAATGGGGAGGAGGAAGAGGAGGAGGAGGGGGGGGAAAGAAAGACTGGAGATAAAGCAGAGTAAAAAAATGAAAAGAAAAATAAAAAGAAATTGGACGAAAGAATTAACACTGCCTGGAGGGTGTTCACGGGGGGGAAGGGGGGGGGGGCAATGCATTTAAATGAAGTGTGCTTTCGGGGGGCGGGGGAGAGAGGGTGAAGGAGACGGGGGAAGAGAAAGAGGAGATGAGGAAATAGAAAAACCTAGTCAGAACGCAAGACAAGGAGAGAGAGAGAAAGAGAGTATGAGAAAGTTAAGAAATGAGCAGACACAAATAAAGGGAGAACAAAAAAATCAAAACAAGAAAAGAATGGGTAAAAAGAGAGAATGCGAATGCGAATGAAAGAGAGAGAGAAAGAGAGAGAGAGAGAGAGAGAGAGAGAGAGAGAGAGAGAGGAGAGAGAGAGAGAGAGAGAGAGGGAGAGAAAGAGAGAGGAGAGAGAGAGAGAGAGAGAGAGAGAGAGAGAGAGAGAGAGAGAGAGAGAGAGAGAGAGAGAGAGAGAGAGGAGAAGCGAAAGCAAGTGGGAGGCAAGGAAACAAAGTGTTTGAAGACGATTAATAATGCGACACATGATCGTTTATGATTCTACAACGATAAGCATTAGAGAGAAAAGCATACACGGGGAGGATTAGTCGTTCCTCCAGATGCTTGGCTCGGAGGAGGAGAGGGAGAAGGAGGGAGGGAGGGAGAGAGTGAAAGAGTGAGAGAGAGCGAGAGATGGAGAGTGAGAGAGAGCGAGAGATGGAGAGAAAGAGAGAGAGAGAGAGCGAGAGAGAGAGTGAAAGAGTGAGAGAGAGCGAGAGATGGAGAGTGAGAGAGAGCGAGAGATGGAGAGAAAGAGAGAGCGAGCGAAAGATGGCGGGAGGGAAGGTAGGAGAGGGAGAGTGAAAGAGTGAGAGAGAGCGAGAGATGGAGAGAGAGAGAGAGAGAGAGTGAAAGAGTGAGAGAGAGAGAGAGAGAGTGAAAGAGTGAGAGAGAGAGAGAGCGAGAGATGAGGCAGAAAGACACGGTGAGCGAGAGAGAGACAGAGAAAGAGAAAAAGAGATAGACAGCTAGAGACAGAGAGAAAGATAAACAGAGAAAGAAAGAGAGAGAGAGAGAGAGACGGAGGGGGAGACAGAAGAAATCAATCCGAGAGCCCGACTCCCCACCGCTGCTTTTGTGCATCCCACTTTCCCCCGGCTGAAGGAGAATGCGGCCGCCTCAAGGGCCCGCCTAAGACGCAACCGTGTCTTCAGACTCCGCTCTTGCCCTCCGGTGATCACATATTAAATTTCCAAGAAGCGGCAATGCAGCTTCGTGGAGGAGAGAAAAAGAGCCGGCTGCCGGTCGGGATTCTCTGCTTTTCGGGGGATTTCTTTTCTTCCGTAATGAGGGTGGCCTGTGCATTCTTTTTTTTGTGTGCTCGTTAGTAAATGATCGATTTTTCTTTTCTCTTTTTTTTTCTTTTTGTTTAGATCAATTTACTTTTTTTCTACTTTATTTACCATATTTATCGATCTCGCTATCAGTATACTGCTTGAGTATCCTATTTTCCCGTCACCAGTGCATTCTCCCCCCCCCCCTTCCCCGCCTTCATCCGCCCACGCTGCCCGCAATCACCCAACACCCCCCATCCCCCCACCGCCTTCCTCCGCCCACGCCGCCCGCAATCCCCCCGGCACCTTTCCCCTCCCTCTCCCCCTCTCCTCCTCCTCTTCCTTCCTCCCTGCTGCTCCTCC